TGGGAATCCATCTTTTGTGTTTCTCCATGTCTTGAGACTCCTCTCATACTCTGTGGTAATTGTTTGCATCATGTGTAAACCTCACTGGATAGTTGAATTGTGTTTATTCATTGTTGTAACACCTATACCTACTGTGGTATAGGCATGAATTGGAAACTTAGGAGATGCTGTTCTCCAGTGTATACTACTTATTGTTATTGTAAGACTGGAATTTGATTGGAAAATCATTTTAGTGTTAGGATGGAAGTTTGTAGTATTATTTCTCACTCGATCTTAGCCAAAAGACTGAGAAACGATGTGTAATATTATTTTTTTTTAATAAAGTCATCCAGAACTAAATTGCCACATGTGCATAGCACATTTGCATAACTTGAATTGTGGTTGACAAGCATATACCATAGTACTTTTATACTGTCGTAGAAAGTCGATGGGAGATATTAACCTGTTTGAAATGCCAGCATTATTAAATATTAAGCACTGGGAGAAACTTGTAGATATGTAAGCAGAATCTGAAGTAGCAAAATCTGTGGTTTTTCTTAAAAATAAAATTTGCTGAGCATGTGCCATATGCTAGGTATTGTACTATTTATATTACTTTCTGAGAGAAGGGTATTATTATCTATCTTTTATAGATGGGAAACTGAGAACTAGAGAGGTAATTTTGTCAAGCTCACATAGAAGAACCAGGATTTGAATACTGGTCTTCTGATTGTAGGTCCGTTGTTCTTTCAGTTATTATTTTGGTTGTTCTTGTTTACTGAAGTGCAGTATTTAAAAAAAAACAAAACTTAATTCTGTACAGAGCTGAGAAGTAGGAAAATAAAGAAATACCTGAAATTAATCAAAAGAGATGACTGAAGTTTTATCAGTAAGACCTTTGTTTCATATGATTTTATTTTTTGACTTAAAAATGATTCGGTATTAATTTTGTTTAATTATTATTATTATTTTTTGAGTCGGAGTCTCACTCTGTCATCCAGGCTGGAGCGCAGTGGCACACACATGACCACCACAGCCTCAACCTGCTGGGCGCAGGCGATCCTTCCTCCTCAGCCTTCCAAGTAGCTGGAACCACGGGCATGCTTGTGGTCCCAGCTAATTCTTTGATTTATTGTAGAAAGGAGGTCTCACCAAATTGCCCAGGCTGGTCTTGAGCCTGTGGGCTCAGGCAGTCCTCTCACCTCCACCTCCCAAAGTGTTGGGATTATAGGCATGAGCCACTGTATCCAGTCTCAATATTAATTTCAGTAACTCTGATGAGAAAACTAAGTCTCAGAAATGAAATGACATCATCAAAGTCTACATAATTAGTGGCAAAATGAAAAGTAGAATCTGGAACTCCTGATATATATATTTTTAAAACTTCATTTAGAATACTTTTTTGTTGTTGCTATTAAAGACGGGGTCTTGCTATGTTGCCCAGGCTGTTCTTAAACTCCTGACCTCAAGTGATCCTCCCACGTTGGCTTCCCAAAGTTCTGGGATTAAAGGTGTGAGCTACTGTGCCCAGTCCTCCTGATATTTTTTGACGCTAGAGCTTTATCTTTATTTTATTTTTTTTTTGATTTTGATTCTCACTCTGTTGCCCAGGCTGGAGTGCAGTGCATGCTCACAGCCACTGTAACCTCGACCTGCTAGGCTCAGGCGGTCCTTCCACCTGAGCCTTCCAAGTAGCTGGAACCACAGGTGCCTGCCACCATGCCTAGCTAATTTTTTGATTTAGTGTAGAGACGAAGTCTCACCAAGTTGCCCTGGCTGGTCTTGAACCCCTGGGCTCAGGTAATCCTCTTGCCTCTGCCTCTCAAAGTGCTGGGATTACAGGTGTGAGCCACCCCGCACCAGGCAAGAGCTTTATCTTTCAAAAAGTTTTATTGAATAACCAATTTGTAAATGTAATTTTAAGTCAGATTTTGTTACAAGCATAAGTGAAAACTGAATGTTCCTAGTGTTTGTCTGTTTTTAGAAGCATCTAGTCTTAGAACATATCTATTTATATATGCTAAAATGTTAAAATTTGAAAGATAGCATAGCTCCTGAATATATTAGTTGTAAAATTGGAATATATAATATATATAATATTTTGGATACTTAGTAAGATAATTTTTTTCAGAGTTTCTATTAAAAGTAAGACTATACCAGATTATTCTAGTCATTGGCTCAATCACTTTTGCTTTTGGTCTTTTCTGTGAAAAGGAATTTTAAAAAATCCCAATGACTTGTTTGTTTCATTTTCATTTCCTATAAAGCTTTTAAGAACATATTTAATTTTCTTCATAGGTGATAATGTTGAGAACATTAAGGATGGATTATTAACTAACAAGTAGACGAGTTTAACGCTGATGATTGAAAGATCACATGCTCTGGATTTACATTGCCCTATTTTCCCCCTAAAAAACGTCCTTGCTAGTTGAGTGTGTCTTGGCTCATTCATTATTCAGGTTAGAGGAATTCAAACTTAGATTCCTGTGATTAAGTCCTGGCTAATTTGCCCATTTTTTATTTTAACTAGTTGCTTAGAACTAGGTTTTTGTAGTTGCCAATTTAATGGTAGTCTTTCTTAGAAGAATTCAATTGTGATGCATTGTTCTATCATCATAATATGCCCTGTTCTCTTTTATTTCACATTATTTCATCAGTGCTTCTGTGGCTTTTCTTGAGCTTCACTTTCATTAGGTTTTTAAGGTATTACAAATAATATTTTGAGGCATTTAGAACCATAATTCCTTATTATTGAATCTATCTAATTGCATTCTCTTTAAGCCATGCATTATGCACTCAGTAGTTGTCAAGTTTCTAGAGAAATGATGTTCTTTCCAGATCTCACCATGTTGTATTCAGTGCTTTGCGCTTACAGAAATCTTCTTTGGTGACACAGTTTAAAACTGAGTGTTGTCACCATGGAAAAATGAACTCCTTCCAGATTCTCTTTTTGAGAAAGTCATTGTTGGTTATGTCATTCAGCCAGGAACATGCTGTTCCAGGTTTATTAAAATTAGTTCAGTGCATACTTTTATTTTCTAATATCAAATAGAAATATGAAAATAATTGTTAGTGTCATGCTGGTTTATGAAACTGTTATGACACAAATAGAGTTTTATTAATAGGAAATGAGCTTTCAATTTTTTCTTACCTTTAACTTGTAGCAAAAAAAGATGAGATTTTGAAGAAAACAAATTGATGAAAGTTATGCCTTCCAACAAAAAATATGTAAAGAGAAAGATGTAAAATAGATTGCTTAGAGTAAGCTTTCCAATGTCATTCATTGTTTTTTACTTGCCTCATTTTAAGTAATTGATAATTTCCTTTGCCCGGCCACCTGTCAGGCTGTAGGCAACCTCTAGTGTCTAGTAAGATCCAGCAGAGTCCTCTCTTCTGTGGAGTCCTCTTTGACAGTTTCCTTGAATCTGGCTTCTCTGAACTCCTGTTGTTTAGGTCTTTAAACACATAGTTTATATCACTTAAGTATTGTTTCATTAACTGTATTTTGATTTTGTTATATGAAGGAATAATTTCTTCATCTGTGCTCTCCCACAAGAGGTCTACTCCAGTGTGCCCTGATTTAATTAATTACCTAATTTTAATTTTAATTTTAATTTTTGAGTCGGAGTCTCACCCTGTTGCCCAGGCTGGAGTGTAGTAGCACGCTCACAGCCACTACAGCCTCGACCTCCTAGGCTCAGGCGATCCTTCTGGCTAAGCCTTCCAAGTAGCTGGAACTACAGGTGCATGCCACCCTGCCTGGCCTATTTATTTATTTATTATAGAGATGAGGTCTTGCCATGTTGCCCTGACTGATCTCGAACCTGTGGGCTCTGACAGTCTCTCACCTTGGCCTCCCAAAGTGGTAGGATTATAGGTGTGAGCCACCACGCCTAGCCTTTTTTTTTTGAAAGCAGGATTTATTGAGAGGACAGAAAAGCTCCCACAGTGGGAGGGGACCCGAAGGGGTTGTACTAGTGCCCTGATTAATTGATTATCATCTCAAATTTGAATCCATTCATCAGAAACTATATTTTCACTGTGGAGAAATGAATTTCAAAAGAAATTCTTTTTTTTTCTTCAAGTTTCAGAGACTACAACCCGAGACATTCATGACCTTCAGGCATAATCGATTTGGAGTAAATGTGGTTGAATGGGTTTCTCACCGAACTACTCTTTTAGTGTTAAGCACAGTGTGAAACAGTACTAAGTTTTTCTTAGGCAAATAAGGTTTAGAGACCTCACTTGTCATTAGTCGCTGAGCAGAGTGAGAAAGACCACAGATGTGGAAGTCAGGCTGCCTGGGTTCTGATCTGTGCTCCTCACTTGTTACTCTGTGACTCTCTGTGCATCAGTATCTTTGACGCACAGAGAGTCACAGAGTGATAATAGTACTTAACTCATGATGTGTTGTGAGGAATAATTGAGATTTTATACGTATATTTATTTTTACACACACATATAATATTCAGAAGAGTTCCCAGGACTTAGGTAGTGGCAGTGGCATAGTCTGTGTGTGCTGAACTTTCTGAGAAAAGCTTTTATATTTGACGTATCTTTTTTTATGGAGTCAGACATCTTACAGTTGTTAAGGTCAGGATTTGCATTTGCGTTTATTCTAGTTCCCTGTCCTAAGGTGGTTAATGTTTATGCCTCACTTTCTACTCTGCCAACTTCCAGTGATGGCTTTGAGAATCAAAATGAAATAGTGTATATAGAAGATCTTTATAAACTGTGAAGTGCTAAATAAATATGAAGTCCTGAAGTCGTTGGCCTTTCATTAGTAAATTTAAAAAATTGTGACTGCCTAAGGTAAAGACCTGTGTTTTACAAGCACCTGAACCTGGGAGTAGTTTCGATGAATTAGTCATTTTTTTGGGGGAAATAAATACTTAAGTGGCTAAATTTTACTACCAGGAATGTATTCTTGTTTGCAAATTGCTGGCTTCATAATAAAAATAGATAACATGTTTTAGAGAGAAACAATATAATATTTGACATGCTTTGTATAACCTTTTCAGGTTTGAAAGCACAATGGCAGGAAACAGCCTTGTTCTCCCCATCGTTCTTTGGGGCCGCAAAGCGCCAACACATTGCATCTCGGCAGTACTTTTAACCGACGATGGGGCCACAATTGTAACAGGATGCCACGATGGACAAATATGTCTCTGGGATCTTTCGGTAGAACTAGAAGTGAGTATTTGAAATGCCTATTGTCCATTTAAATGTGAGAAATTACTTACTAGAAGGTACTACAATCCCAGAATGATACTTGAGCTCATGATATATTTTCTGCAAAATATACTTTAACTAAAATGGGTGATATGCCGATTGTTTATTTATTTTATTCATCAGAGTTTACTTTTGGCTATTTTCTTTTTTTTTGAGTTGGAGTCTCACTCTGTCGCCCAGACTGGAGTGCAGTGGCCACTCCCAGCCACTGCAGTCTCGACCTGCTGGGCTCCGGCGATCCTTCTGCCTCAGCCTTCCAAGTAGCTGGAAATACAGGCGCGCGCTACCACACCCAGCTGATTTATTTATTTATTTATTTATTGTAGAGATGAGGTCTCGCCAAGTTGCCCAGGTGGGTCTCGAACCCGCGGGCTCAGGCAATCCACTCACCTCAGCCTCCCAAGGCGCGGGGTTACAGGCTGAGCTACTGAGCCCGGCTGGTTATTTTCTAATGTAATATCTACCCTAAGTAGCTAAATATTTGTTACAGTTAAGGTTTTCCAAAGATTGTGATCCATACTGAAGGAGGTTTCTGAAGAGATAATAAGAAAACAGTTTAAAACTCTTAAAACATGCATGGAAACCTTCTATGGTAACTGCCCTCTTCAGGGCAGAACTTTTTACAGAGTGTGAGTTTTGTTGCATTGGTTTTTGAAATCACCACGCGTGTATCGTCATTCCTTACTGCTCTGGAGTGCTCGTTGTGCCCTGCTCCCAGGCTCCAAGTTCACATTGGCATCCCCAGTTGTGCTATGACACCACATTTATCCCACTTTTCTCCTTTCCATATTTGTACCTTCCTTCTCTGACAGGTCTTCTCAGAATTTTCTGTAAAGGGGAGCAAGAGAAAATGGGGTGGTAGCTGGTCTGAAATGTGAAGTCAGGAAAGGTTTTCTTTCTTTTTTTTTTTTTTTTTTACTTTTCTTGGCTAACGGCCTTATTGAGATATTAGTCACATACCATATAATTTATCTGTTTATTGCAGGCTTTAATGTTTTTAGTATGTTCACAGAGTTGTGCAGCTATTACTACAGTCAGTTTTGGGACATTTTCATCACCTCCAAAATAAACCCTATATTCCTTAACTGTCACTTCCAGTGCTCTCATTCCTCCTGGACAACCACCATTCTATTTTCTGTTGCTAAAGTCTTGCCTGTTCTGGACGTTTCATATAAATGGAATCATATACTATGTGTTTTTTTTTAATGACTGTTTTTTATCACTTAGCATAATGTTTTCAAGGCTCATCTGTGTTGTAGCACTTTCTTTTTTATGACCAAATGATTTTTCATTTTATGAGTATGCCACACTTTATTTGTTCTTTTATCAGTTGATGAGCATTTGGGTTGTTTCTATTTATGGTCTTTATGAATAATGCTACTGTGAACATTTGCGTATGAGTTTTTGTGTAGGCCGATATTTTCAGTACTCTTAGGTTTACACCTGGGCATGGAATTGCTGGATCAAATGGTAACTATGTTTAATCGTTTGAGGAACTGCTAGACTCTTTTTTAAAGTGACTGCACCTTTTTTGTTTTTTTTTTTTTTTTGAGTTGGAGTCTCAGTCTGTCACCCAGACTGGAGTGCCGTGGCCGCTCCCAGTCACCGCAGCCTCGACCTGCTGGGCTCAGGTGATCCTTCTGCCTCAGCTTTCCAAGTAACCAGAACTATAGGTGCGCACTCCCATGTCCGGCTAATTTTTGATTTATTGTAGAGATGAGGTCTTGCCAAGTTACCTGGGCTGGTTTCGAACTCATGGGCTCAGGCAATCCACTTGCTTCAGTCTCCCAAAGTGCTGGGATTACAGGCTGAGCCACTGAGTCTGGCCATGTTTTTTACTTTTTTAGTAAATTTATTTCTGAGGATTTTATTTTTTTAGAATCTATTGTACACAGAATTGTTCAATTTATTTAATGTTCACATTGTTCATTGCTGGTGTGTAGAAATGCAGTTGAATTTTTTTTTTTTTTTTTAGTTGGAATCTCTGTCACCCAGACTGGAGTACAGTGTCCGCTCCCGGCTACCGCAGCCTCTACCTGCCGGGCTCCGGCGATCCTTCTGTCTCAGCCTTTCAAGTAGTTGGAGCTACAGGCGTGCGCTACCACACCCGGCTAATTTTTGATTTATTGTAGAGGTGAGGTCTCGCCAAGTTGCCCAGGCGAGTCTCGAACCCACGGGCTCAGGCAACCCACTCACATCAGCCTCCCAAGGCGCGGGATTACAGGCTGAGCCACCGAGCCCGGTGCAATTGAATTTTAAAAAATGATCTTGTATCTTGTAACCTTGTTGGATTTGTTTACTAGTTCTAATAGCTTTTTAGTGGATTCCTTAGGATTTTTTTAATGTGTAAGACAACAGTATATGTCATTCTTGGTAATGTCTTTCTTAGATGATCTCTGATAGAGAGCGATTTACTTTTTCCTTTCCAGTATAGTTGCCTTTTATTGCCGTTATTTTTTTGCCTAGTTGCCCTGGGTAGCACCTCCAGTATATTGTTGAATAGACATGGTGAGAGCGAACATCTTTGTTTTGTTCCTAACTGCATTTATCAAGATGAAAATTTGTCTTTTATTCAGTTGATATAGTGGAATTGCCACTTTTTAGTGGGAGGTACTTTAGTTCATATATTAAAAGGAATGATCAAATAAAAAGTGAATATCGGTGTTTTTAAGAGAGAGGTGACAGTTGAAGTGAAGCTCACAGATTGGAGGGAATTAAATCCAGTGCTCAGACTGAGGAGATTTCTCTGACAGGAGCAAGAAATATTTATAGACTATAATAGGGAAGCTGGGATAGATGAATGTAGGTAAGTTGGTTGCGCTTTTGGCAGAAATGTGGAAATACCTTGATGCTTCTACTGTTTCTTGGAAATGTAAGCAAGGTTGTCCCTGAAAGTAAAGACGGTGAAAGGGCTTCTGGAGGTTTGAGGAGAGAGAAACTGTGCAAGGGTACCTGGGAGAGTGGGAGTATGAGCACCCTAGGGAAATGGGGTAGTTCTGCTAGACAGTATTCAGGGCCCCCTGGAAGTTACTTGTCATTAATTTAACAGGAAATCAAACAGCGTGGTGGTGTGTTTTTTTCCAGCTACCTTCAGTTTCTTGGATATAGGCCCAGGTTATACAGAGAGCCAGGTTGATCTGGGTTGAGGTTTGCCTGGCAGGCCTAACAGAGAGAGGGGCCAACGTTCTGTGTGTGTTTGCAAGGTAGCAATTGTAGAGATGCTCTGTGGACTCTCACTTTGGAGAGGAAGGTCAGTTGGACGTCTTCCATTTAGATGTGGAAGGCATTGATTTGCGGGGGTTGAGGGATGGCGAAGAGTGCAGTGGCGGCAGGGTGGAGGCGGGTCTGCGGCTTTGGTGGGGGAAGAATTGCTGGAGGGAGATGGGATGGAGTGCGTTAGATAAGGGGGGGTGATTGGAGGGTGAGATGCTTGAATTAGATCCTAGAAGAGTTCATTTACTGGTGACCATGGTGGGACCATGGTACAGTGCAGTAGGGTCTATGGCACAATCTTAGTGGCGAGGAGGTCAGGGAGTGAGAGGTTTGGGTGCTGCAGAGCTTGCCTGTGAAGATAGTTGTCACCTCGCCGTAGGATACTAGAAGCGTTGGAGGGTGAGACAGTGAACCAAATGCCAGAATCTTCAAGGAACAAGAGTGAATGGCTTGGATATTTATAATGAGTTTAGCGAAGTAGATGCTGGTGGTGTAAGGCGCAACAGGACTTACTTTTTGCTCGAGTTCTGGATGAGAGAATGAGGAACAAATTGTAGTACAGGATGTGATGGAGAAAAGTCAGGCACTATTTGCGAGAGTTTCACTGGAAACTATTGTCGGGGGACTTCTAGGTTGTGATTGAGTAAGAAGTTTGAAAGCAGCATTCAGAAATGAGGTGGAGGTTGGGCATGGTGGCTCATGCCTGTATTCTCAGTACTTTGGGAGGCCAAGGCTGGAGGATCGCTTGAGGCCAGGCGTCTGAGACCAACCTGGGCAAAATAGCAAGACATCATCTCTATAAAGATATTGAGACTGTAGAGGATTTTGCTGATCATTGCCTTTGAGTTGTCGGGGACATGGAGGAGTGAGAAAGAGACATATGATTGCATCACATTGGGGGGTGCATAGCCATGTGGGGAGTAATATGGATAATTAGTACTCAGAAAGAAATCAATTACAACCAAGCGTATTACTTTAACAATGGTTGGCATTTGAGTTCTAAGCACTTTTATGCATTTGAGTTACAAAGATAAGTATAGCACATCACTAGCACTCAGGAAGCTCAACTTTCCCCCTCAGAAAGCTGGAAAAATTATACCACAAACTTGGATGACTTGTAAGGGTGAGGAATACAGGTTGAAAAGTAACTGGCAGTGAGTGTGTAGAATGTGTTATGCCTTCAGGATTGATAGCAAACTAGAGAGGAATCAGCAATGTAGTGCTGAGGGGGGACCTCACACCACTTTATACTGGAATGATTATGGGCAATGAGACTGGCGTGTGAGATCTCAAGCAATTCTTTCGCTGAATTTTTTTGCATGAATTTCACTAGAATGTCCTATTTATTTAAGTAAGAAGAACAAAAATGATGGGATGTGGGAGGAGTAGGAACTGAGGTAAGGATTAGGAGAGAATATTTAGAAAAATATTGAAGGAATTGGACTATTTAACCAGAAGAAAAGAAGACTTAAAAAAAGCTATCATCTTTGGATGCATATGGAGGGTCTTCTGAAGTGTTTTGCCTTCTGGCAGATAGTTATGCCTGTAAGGACCAGGAAGAAGAAATGTAACAACATTCAGAGGGTCAAGGCATCAGGCTTTCTCTTGAGGTCATAGTAATTTTCCTTCCTCTTTTGCTGGGAAAGGATTTACAACTGTAGCTAGAGCTTTTGCCACCTGTATCTTGGTCTCCTTTCATCTGTGAAAAAGGGCAGACACTTGGCCTAAACCTGTGATGGCAATACAAT